TTTGGAAAACTCATAAACGTGAGCTCTTCCAATGTCTTGAGTGTGAGCTTTCCGGCTGCGGGAGATGGAAGATGAGCGCAAAATTGAAGATCCCCAAGCGAGATGGAAAGAAAACTCTATAAAAAATTAAGCACAATTGAAGAAGGCCAACCTTAATTACTCTAGTTCTTACCCAAATTTCAAATCCAAGAAGACGTCGTTTGGGCTAATGTAGAAATTCATCTCCAAAAGACATCTTTTTAGATCTGTAATTTAGGGAAAAACTAGAGTAATGACGTGGAAATGCCACATCACTAAGGGCGATTTTTGAAGGAGTGTTAATGGGGGCAGTTAAATCAAGTAAAAGTTTATGGTTTTTTATAAGATAAAAAAAGTTTAGGGTAAAATTGGCACTAAACCTAAAATTGATAGTTTTTTATAAGATAAAAAAAGTTTGAGGTAGAATTGAGACCGGGCTAAAAGTTGAGGGTTTTTATGAGATGAAAAAAAATTTTAGTGTACAATTGAGATTAGAGTTAAAGTTGAGGATTTTTTAGGGTATTAAATCGTCAGAATTGAGATTCTATCTAAAGTTTGTGGTTTTTAGGGGAATTATATCGGGAAATGATTAAAATGAAAAGATTTTATAAAATCTAGGCAGTAGTGTAATTATGAAAACACGTGAATAGTACCAAAGGACTCTTTTCACTTTGTTGAAAAGTTGAGAGATTATATTGAACAAATTGAAAATTTAGAGACTACATTGAATATTTAGGAATAGTTCAAGAACTGTATTAAACGAATCCGAAGTCCAAGGATGACATTACATATTGGGCCAAAGTGTATGAACTATTAATGTCAATTTCTCTTAGGAATACTATCTCAGATTCACCTCAATAGCCTGACCTAGACAATGATAAGCCATGCTAGAAGGAATGGGGCTATGGCCACCGGTTGAACTTCAGCTAAGTCAGCGCGAGACAGAGTTACCAAGTAGTTGGCCACTACTAGATCATGTATTTCGGAGGCCTCTTCGATTTTGAACAAAAAATCAATGGAGCAAACAAGAAAGGAAGAATCAAACTCCTCCTTCACTAATCTTGACGTGATCAACGAGGGTTGAATATGAGCTCGAGATATGCTGGTAGCAGTTATGGACACTCTCGTAATAGCCAAGCAGACCCCTAGAGAAAGCGTCCACCACAATGCCATCGGGGGCTAGGCCTGAGAATGCTGCAACGTCCTCGAGGGTGATAGACATCGTGGCCTCTGGAAAGATGAAGTTGAAACACTTGTCCTAGAGCACCACCAATGGAGTATAGAGGTGGGAGTGGAAGTCTTGTTTCTCTGTCGACAGGCGGATGGCATGGATTCTCAGCTTCTCCCGAACTGAACCCTTTTACCTTATTTAACATGCAACCCAGTTTGAATAGTGATTATCAGTAGGAACCAACACCGAGGAATCGATTTGCTCCAACCTGACAAATCAACCCATCGTTTAAGGCGACATTGCTACAGGAAGCTTGTGGTTTTCGAAATACTTCTCACTCATAGTATCCTTACTCCTGCAGAGTTTGGGTTGAAAACAGGCCCCTGTGACATCATTGTCAATCTTCTATCAGATTGCTGATCAGTGAATTATTTGAAATCCTCGACCTCGACCTGATACAACATGTTTCTTGCATTCAACGGGCTCGCAATCACATTTAGCTAGAAGCTATCAATGATGAGCTCACAAAGTGCTTCATAAAAGTAATGTCACTTGTGGTTACAACCAGTGATCTAAAGGTTTGAAATGAAGAGATGAACAATTAGGGCGGGGGGAGAGAGAGAGATTGATTGATTTGATCGATCAGAGCACTTGAATTCAAAAAATAGAGACTTTAGGGCTTAAATACGTTTTTATCTAAATGGAAGGATGCTGTTACATTTTGACTGATTACCAAGCTAGCATTGGGTCAAAATAAGGGGACCTATGTTGACATTAGGCCCAAAATATGGGCGAAAACCTAAAGAAGTTAATCGCCCAAATCAGGCTATGCCAAATACACTTAACTCACAAGACTGACTCAATACAATGCTTGATAAACTCACATACGATTGGTTTACAAGATCATTGATGGAATGTCTAACAAGCTCATCGATCATGAATTTCCAATGGATATAGTTTAAGGGAAGTTCATGACACGTGGCGATGATCAATTGACTTGAAATATATCAAGAAGTCAAAGACTAAGTCAAGAAGGATCCATCAACCAAGGAATAGTTGTACTTAAGGGATCGGGAGCAGCGGCAAATCATTCCTAAAGCATTGCACAAGTCAAGAGGCAATTAGTGATTTTAGTTGAAGAAGATCAGAATGCATAATGAAATGACATATTCAGGCTGCATGATGGATAAAAGAACGCATCTCTCATCACACATTTTACAAATCACACAACATCAATCAAGGCATCGAGAAGCGTGAGGAGCTCATCCAATTTTGAAGAAGATCATTTGGATTAGATTTTGCCAAAGTTTGAATGTTAAATTTTAATTAGATAAGGTTTCCTAATTCCGGTATCGTGCTTGTCTTTCATTTTAAAAGCTATGAAGCTATGTCTTGTAAGCCTCTCACTTTCGCAATGCACTTCATTGATTTTCTTTAAAAAACTTAAGTCCAATCTCAGTCATCGAACAAACATGCCATTTAAAAATGTAAGCCATCTGTTCTGACTCAATAAAGTTCCTTGCAATTTACGTTATATATTTTTTATTATTTATCTACGAATTATATTTATAATTCGAATTTTACAAAGTTCTTGAAGTTTCCAGACATATAGAATTTGATTTGAAGCCAAATTTGATGCTTGAATTGGCCGTGGTCATCCTCGATCAGACTTTAATAATTGAAACCATTGCAGTTTAGGCGAACACAACTTGATAAAACTACAAGTGACACGTACATAGAGGTTTTTTTGAACTTCTAATGTACTTTGCCTCTTTTTCTTTTTAAAATTTGAATGTTCAATATTTATAAAGTTGGGCTTTCTCTGATGTCATCTGGTCTTGTCATATTCTAAGCGGGCGAAGGCTGTAGCTTTGGAAAATTTAATGGGTCAAAGGACTACAAAAAGAGGTCAAATATACAATGCATCTAAAACTTTGTAGGTGTCCCCAGTCATATAAGGACGCTCCATCACTGATATTGGATGGGACCACCATTGCATGGTCACCCAACTTTTGAGAATAGAGCTGTTTACCATCATTTGAAAGCCAAATCTCCAATACGAAAAGACACCCACCACACAAAACTTCCTCAAATTCACCGACAAAACGTTGCCAATCTTTCAAAAGGATCCACTATATGCTTGTCTTTGGTTGTTTGTGAGAAAAGCACGAGGTTGTGTGTTCTATCCTTTTCCCCTTCTGTTTTTGTCCTTCTCGGAAGCTGTCCCAATTCGAACCTCACTTGCTTCGGACTCAAACTTTGCTTCTCAGCTCAACCCCGACCCGACAAGCAAAGAGAAAAAGAAAAGAGAGGAGGTTGGGTGGAGAGCCCTTTTGTGCCCACTTTCAAAGTGTGATCTCGTGCTCTCGCGCATTCCCTTTTTTTTCTTCTTTTAAACGTTTGGCCAAACATAAGCGCAAATCAATTAGTTGGCTAATTATATAGAGATATTAACGGTCGGTTTGTTTTAAAGAGAACTATTCCGAAAAATTGTTTCCTGACTTTTCGGTGCTTGGATGACAGGAAACCAATTGATCTTCAGAAATTGTTTTCGATGGACTGAAAACAACAAGTTTATATCGGGGGAATGCGACTTCTCATTCAGTAAAAGGAAATCATTTTTCTAAACCACTAAATAAATGAAAACTAACAATTTTCCTTGAAAATTATTTCCATGAAAAGTATTTTCTTTTAGGGATAATACCACGAAAAATCCTAAACTGGTACAGCTATGACAAATTTATCAAAAACTAATTTTTTGATCACTAAAAACCCTAAAATAGTACACATGTGACAAATTTACCCTCCGTTAAATTTTACCGTCAAATTGCTGAGTTGGATGACACGTGGCAGTTGACTGGTATACCAATTTGGGGTTTTACTTTCCGTTTGTCATAAGTGTACCGGTTTATGATTTTTCATAATATTAATCCAATTTAACGGAAACTAAGGGAAAGTAAATTTGTCACAAATGTAACAGTTTAGGGCAAATTTGTTACAGATGTACCAGTTTGGAGTTTTTGGTGGTCAAAAAATTAGGTTGGGGTAAATTTATCACGGGTGTACTCGTTTGGGGTTTTTCGTGGTATTAACCCTTTCTTTTATCACGAAATTTTTAGTGAAATAAATGCACTCTAAGTTGGTACATTTAGTTCACACGGAGGGTCTAAGGAGTAACAACATGTATACAGTTTGCATTTCTAAATTAAAAAGATTGCATTCGTTTCATTAACCCGAGATGGAAAGGCTTTCTACGGATCATGCGCACCCCTTTAATGTTATATGGTGGGTTCCCTTTAATTTTGAGTACCTCCTTTGTTTTTTTTTTACACTTTTTTTTTTATAAAAGAACTCTGTGTACTTACTGATGCCCAGCTCTTTTTTGACCAGCAGAATCAGTATATAAGAATAAACAATTCACGGACAACAACCAGCTCCTGTTCGAGATTGTTGGCTGCTAAACACTCATGACAAGACAGCCGTTAAAACATAAGCATCCCACTCATTAAGCATAACAAACAAAGAAATATTCGATTTTCAAAGTATCGACAGGCAAAAATCGCCAGTTAATTGATTGCTTTCATAAGGGCGCTTTTCGACAACACTCTATTTCGATAAACAGGACGGATTGAATGTACATAGGACATGTAACTAGGCAAGAAAATACGAAGAATAGCTTAGAGCAGGGTTTCGTTTGATGAGTTGCCCTGGGATGATTTTATCTTTGGATTCGGGAGAGCATATTTTGTGTGACACAAGCTTCCAATATTCTTCAACTCCCCCCTAGTGCTTGCCACAAAGAATACAATGCTTCCCGGAAGAGAATATACTGCGGGCAATCAATCAAGCAACCAAACATTTGATACCGGAGTGTTCTCATACGTGTCTAAATAACTTTAATTACAATCCCATGTCTAGACAAACTTAAGCAATCCTAGACACACGTTTCTGTCGTATTCTCTTTTGCTCTCTCTCGATACTTATGCTTGACCTGGAGGTTGTTTCGAGTTCCCAGCTCTCCTGAAACAAGGAAAAAACACATGAAATTAAAGCCACATATCATTTTATAAAGTTATGAAAAGTAATTAATGTGCTCCCTAAACATTTGTTTAATTATCCTTTATGTTTTGAATAAAAGTGCCAGATAATTCCAATATATCAGACTATGATCTTTAATAGCATGTTTGAAGATGCGGCACGTGTGTTCTAAAGGCGACGGGAAAGTGAAGACCAAAAGAAAGAAACCATTAAAGCTTCAAAAGGTTGCATGTACTCTGAACACATCTGTATTTACGTAAAGCTTTAGATAAGCATTGAAATTGAATAAAGCAACAGAACATCTTCCCTTTTGATGGCAGGCACATATTAGATTTAGCTCCTTTAGTATAGCATTAAGTAAGTGGCCCATTCAACAGTTTTTTTTTTCTCTATGCAATGAGAGGGAAGGGTACTTGTTTTGCAGGCACTCGACAGAAATGCACCCAATAGAGCGGACCGTAGATCATGTGAGAATCGTGAAAGATCCATCGAGTCTATGGGTTCTCGATACGAGTGCACATGTATATAATGTCTTACATACAAGCATTTTCTTCTATCTCCCAGAGAAATCAAAAGATGAAGCAACAAATCGAATTGGGATATATTTGAACTGTTGAAATTAAGCACAGCTTTCATTTTGTTGGTTATTGTTGATTGTTGTTTCAAGGAAAAGACGTTCCAAGTATAAAATTTCGTCAAAGGGACATGCTTGTGTGATATTATGTCATATTCTTTTGTTTATGAGATACATTCCGTGACATTGACATATGGTGTAATGAAATAAATAGAACGAGGATACTTTAGATTTAAAAGGAAAAGTTGATTTTCTCTTATAACACAACATCCATATAAATCGCCCTGGAGATGATAATATAGTCATTCTTAGCTGTCTAAAACTTTCGCAAAAGCAACTGTTCCATAGGGACGAAAACTTTAGCAAAAGAGGAAATCACAATGCATGGAGTAGAAGCACTTACACAAACTGGCGAGGCTATAGCTCTATATTAAAAACATGAAAGAACAACGCTAGCTCTTTTTTAGGACGAAAAGAACCCATCTTTGATAAGTAAACCTCGAGCCTATTAAATACCGCTAGCCTGGGTAAGTGGCTCAAAATCACTAAACATGTCAAATTTTATTAACATATGCATAGAAATGCACTCATCTCATTACAAAACATGGCTTCAAGTTTTCATGCATCCAATGGATATTCATAGACAAAATAATATCTCCTATCATTTCTGCAAAAGAGAGAAAACTTCATGCACCGTACCTGTTATGGATAGGATCAGGTCCATTTGGAACTCTCCTCTTGCTCATGTAGTTGAGATCCGACTGCGGTCGGAAAGCAAGCTTCTTCTCTCTATCCATCACCTCAGAGTTCTTCGCCTGTCCCTTCGACCGGTCCTTCAAGGGTGGGTTTAGTGCTGCTCCTCTGCCGCCAGCTGCTTCCGCCGTCGCAAACGCCAAAAGCCAAACAAGACTCAGAGCTGCTAGTGCTCTGAGTATGAACTTTGCATATAGAGGACAACTCTTACCCATAGTATATGTTTCCTATATAGTCCTCTACACACAAGTTTTCACTCTTTTTTTTGTCTTTTCCTACGAAGAAAGATGCTTAGGTTTCTAGGATGACAAAGACGAACGACGAAGTATATCAGAACTCAACACCATCATTGCACAATGATTGCCATGCACATATGTGTATTTATGAAAGAGAAAAGAAGAGAGGAGAGAGAGAGAAAGAGAGGAGAGAGGAGTGGGCTTAAGGCAAGAATTCTATGTTTTTGGTGGAGGGAAGTCTTCCCTTATTTACTTCGTGGGCTACGGATGGTTGGTTTTCTTTATAGGTTGAAGCATTCTATTGCACTTTCTCGAAGAGAGAGAGAGAGAGAGAGAGAGAGAGAGAGAGAGAGAGAGAGAGAGGGAGAGGGGCAGGCTTAGCTGGTTTCTTTGGTGACATGAAAAGGGACCTAAGTTTGCTTTATACTGATAAGTTTTAATACAACACTGCTTTTAAGCTTCCATTTGAGTTTTTTCATGCACATGCATCCACAATGCCCGAAAAGCCTTGGTGCCTCTCCCTCCCCATCCTATGTTACGAATAAAAGCAAGTTTATATGGAACGAAACTTGGCTCCTCTCGTAGCTCCTGCCCTTACGCGGCAATCTATTTTTAAAAGGGATTCACTTACAATTACCTATGTGAGTCGTGTTAGAAGACTCTCGTGTTGGAGATTACATATTCTATGAAGCAGTTCTTATATTTTAATTAGCCCATACCTCATTATTTTAAGTTTTTAATAAAGTCATGTCTAATTAGATATGTTACTGGGCTAGGACTTACGATCTCTCTTATAGATTCTCTAAGGTGAATGTATTGGGATTCTACTGCAACTTGCGAGCTTAAAAAGAGATTAGTGGCCCACCAATGTGGATCGATATTTAACTAAAATATCTCAAAAAGAAATCTCATGATCAACATGGATTTCGGTGAAAATTTTCATCTCAATGGGTTTGGTAAAAAGAGACCATGGGTGAAGGCAGGTGTCGAGGTAGAGCAATTTGATTTCATGTATGGCGATGATGTTTGTTCAGAAGCCATCATGTAACAAAGGTGGAGATTCAAGTGTGAGATTGTTTGAGGTACACATGTAAATTGTGTCTTGAAGTGTCGCGTTAGAAATTTAGTATTGTGTGAAACAGTCAATTTATCTTATTATATTTAAAATTCATCGACTTAAACTTTTGAGTGAATATGAAATCAGACATGTTGATGGACTCCGACTTATACTCTTTTTTAGAGATCTCCTCTGAAAAGGTATACGACTTCTACTACGAGTCCCAACATAGGGATTGCACTGTTTGGATTCTATTTCAATCCCAAACACCGTTCTTCATCGAATATGTAAGCTGTATAGTGACCTGATATTGGTTTTACTAGTTAGGTCAATTTGGGTTAGTACAGACCTAACATGACCCGACTCATCCAAATAGCTTCATTAAGATGTTAATTAGAACATACATGTCATTCTCGGGTAAAATTGCTTTCACATTATATGACCCAATTTGTAAATCAACTCAAATATATCGTGACAAGATTATGACGCGAAACACAAGTAACATAAATTTGAATCCGCTCGACTTCTACTCGAGTCATGTTTTCATATCTTGGCAGAAATCGACACTCACAAGTCTAATTAACCTCCTATGGTCCACTTTATGCCTTAATCACTTGGACCACCCTTAGTTGGACCGCAAAAACTTATACTCACCCAAAAAATGGGGATATGTGATCTTTGGGAATATGATCACCCAACACATATAGATATAGAAGTACATGAATATGAATTGGAAGCTGGTTCCACCTTTATATGGTTGAGGGCCTTTTGCTAGGGAATATTGTCACTCCTTACTTCCTAGGGTTAAAGCATATGGCACATTTTTTTTGTCTTATCCATTCTCTGCATGCCTGTTGGAGTTATAATTAATATTCTGGCAAGAATCGAATGCTTGTCACTAGGAATGGCTTCTCCTAGAAGGTTGACATAATTAGGTATAATATCCTACAATTTTTTTTATTTGGGTCAGCAGCCATAAAAAGTGCCGATTGTCATGTTCCTTGATTATATAATTGTTGAGAACCTGAGATTTGGCTCGCATCAAAGTGCCACTTTGGGAGTCCAAGGAACCCAACCTGCCTTGGATCCTCTGTTCTGAATTCCTTTTGTTACCATGTAAATCTTGAATTTTTTTTTGAGAATTGTGGATTACGATTTCAAGACATGCAGAACTATCTAGGCTGAAAAATTCGTGTTGGCATGCCATAATTATGTTTATTCTTTGTGTCATATCATGTAAGCGTAAAACATTATAATCTTGATTTCATATTGGGTAATGTTATGGAACCACAACCAACTATTTTAAATAGCTTAAGCATTGATTGTTAGATGAATGAGTGGTTTATTTTTAAAATACTCTCGACACTTTCTCTGATGTGTAGACTGGAGTTTAGCCTAAAATTAAAGCGTTATAATTGGGGAGATAAACAAGGAGGCTGGAAAAATTTGAGGTGAAAAACTCCTGCTTTCATACTGTTTGAACTTATGTGGGACCGTAAGGAAACATTCTAAAAGTTTAAATTGTTAATTATTCAATTTTCTATCAAATATGCCACAATAACAGAACTATAATAAAGGAAACGTGTCAATTTGTGTTATTATAAGGAGTTGAGCATGTCATGTTATATCATATAATGGTTTCTCATAATTTTTGTTTCATCTTGCATCGGGTTTGTATCGTGAAAAGGGGTTGTGTCTAACGTTCCCAATTATAAATTAAAATGTCCGGTGCATCCTTCAGTTGATTGATAAATAGAGTATGCGAATCCGCATGACAATGGTTATTGTCTAAACATGTAAAGCCATTAGTAGATCAGATCTCACAAGAAACAATTGGAATATCACATATCTTTTAGAAGGGGGAAAGTCCAAAAAAAGTCATAAATCTATTGTATTGAAGCCAATTCAGTCATAAACCTTTCAATTTGACCAATTTAGTTTTAAACCTTTTGCGTTTGTACTAATTAAGTCCATCCGACTAATATTGGTAGAAAATCATTGACGTGGACGCCGGCCATCTTACATGGCGCTGCCGGCGTTGATGTAGACATTTTTAATAATATTTTGAATATTTTATATATTTTTTGTTCTTTTCTTTTCATTTTTATTATTTTTTGTTTTTTTCTTTCTTTTGTTTTTCCTTTCATTTTGGCCGGTGAGGACCTTTGCAATCTTATCGGTTGCAGGCGGGGTGGTCCTTACGACCAGTGAGGACACAATGGCCTCACCCAAGGCCATCGCGGCCTTGCCAGCTGCGGGTGAGGGCGCGAAGGCCCTTGCGAAGGGCTTTCGCAACCCACCGGCTGCAAGCGAGGCGACAATTGCTGGTTAAAATGAAAGTAAAAAAAAAAAGAAAGAAAAAAATAAAAAATTCAATTTTTAAAAAAATATAAAAAAATCGTTAACGTCAGTACCGGTCGGGTCATATAGGATGGACAATGTCTACGACAGTAATTTTCTACCAAAATTGATCGAATGAACTCAATTAGCACAGAGACAAAATGTTTAGGACTAAATTGATCAACTTGAAATGTTTAGAACTGAATTGGTACAAATGCAATACTCGAGTTTTTGAACAGGTCTAACCTAATATGTTTATGAGGTCAGATTTGAACACTTGTTTTGTAATCTTGACATGGATTATTGCTATGTGTCATAACAAGTGGTATCGAAGGCGATAGATTGGGCCCATAATGTGGTTGGATGTCCAATGAATATGGAGAGGAAGAAATCTTGAATATTTACCAGATACTAATATGCATGTTTTCAACTCGATGAGTCGGAGACTCTTGGGGAACTGGATCGTTAGATGTGTTGTGGTTCCTATATACTGTGAGCTGCTAGTAGTGATTAATAAACGAGTAGATTGCTGGATGCTTCATTAACAAAGGTAAATGTGCGATAATGTTGTCGAATAATATCCAATCTCCCGCATGGTATTCTTTTTGGGCAAAATATTTTTTTCATTTGTTACCAAAATGATATATGAAAGGATTCATAGAAAATCTCAAAAGTCACCATAACAAGGCAATTAAGTAGAGCTTCAAAACAAACCAAAAACCATAAATCAAGATATATCATTAGAGCATGGTTGATAGAGATAATCACGCGCTTGTCTTTCAAGAACATATTTGTAACTGCATCCAAGCAAAAGGATCGACGGCCGAGCACTGATTCACACATCATTATTAGTAATGAGTACAAGCCGGGATCTCCATATAGTTACAGCTTTACCTTTCGACAATGTGCGCCTAGGTTCGGTGTCCCCAACATTATCACTATACGGAGACAACATAAACATGTGAAACAAGTTTAGATCTGAAACCTGTGAGAACGAGCCCTTTAGAAAGTGCGAGATGCCAAAACTTCTAACAAAAAAACGTTAAACGACCATAGATTTGACAACGAAATTGCTAAGAACACCATTGAAATTGGAGGCGGAGTACTTATTCATCAAACTCCTAAGTCTATAATTTGATCGGAGAGAAAAGCTCACAAATCTAAAATTAGGAGAAAAAAACTCAAAGATTTAAATCTAGATCGAGAGAGTAAGGAAAGCAACAAGCGGAAGTAAAAGCAAAAGCAATTAGGGAGGGGAGGGAGAGATCTAGGTCAAATCCCTCCACTTTAGAAGTTAAAGAGAGGAAGAAAGGCTAAAACTCAGCGAGGGAGGGAGGGAGAGAGAGACCAGTTCCCATGGGATTTGAAGTGATAAAGAACAACTAATGTATCTAGGTTGCTTGCTCCATTGTTTGGACCTCTAAGCGAAGATCAGTTCAACTAAATATATTAGAAAGCAAAGGACACTAAGCTCCTTCTGAGTGATCTTTCCATAGGTGAGGTTATGCCTAACTTAGTGGTATTGAAGCAAATATAATCAATAATGGATTGGAGTTGACGGGCCCCAGCAATACGTGTCCCCGATGAATACGTCAAGCTATTTTTTTCCTAGATCACAGTGGTTGGCAGATGAGGATTACCATTTTGATGATTTGGAATAGCGGTCGAGAGATTTGAGGGAGTCGAACCATTAATGCATATCCCCACATGACAGATGAGACTTGTCAAGGTACAAGTATTGAATGCTAATGAAAATTGTAAGATTTGGTGAAACCATTGCCAACTATTTTAAAAGTTTAAGCTATTAGATAAATGTGTGGTTATTATTTAAATATTTTAACACTCTCCCTCAAGCGTAGGCTAAACTTTGGCCTAAGCATAAAGCGTGAAAATATGCAATTAGGGAGACAAATAGGGTCCGGAAAGATTTGAACTTAGGATATCATATTTTGATATCACGTGAGATT